TAAACTTCAGTAAGTTAACTGATTGTGAAAAATAAAACCATTAAAACTTAGGGAACTGTGCTTCTGCTTAAAGTTCTTTTACAAACAAAAACTTACAATAACAATAGATGGGGGAATCCTTTAACAAACAGGATTAGTGACTGACAAGGAATGAAAATTAAGGCACACTCAAGTTAAAATAATGAATTGGCTATTATATGCAGTTTGCAGGGACAGGGACATTCTCCTGTACCTTTTTTGGTTTGTTTTTGGTAACAGGACAGTCTGACATGGTTGCCATGTCCTGATTTTTTCCCTCTCAGACTTTAAAGTTTAGAAAAGGAAATGCAGTAGATTCAACAAATCCAAGAAATACTACATATTCCACTTGACTTTTGGTGAGGGAATGAGAGAAAAAAAGAGGGAGGCCTTGTTAGGATAAGCAGTGGCCTTAGTGCCTTCAAAATATTATTTAGTTTTCAAACAACAATTCAGCAAGTTAAGGATCATCACCTCCACTTTCATGAATGAGGCCCTGCTCTAGAAAGTGCAGTTAAACTGACAAAAAGCAAGACGTCAGAACAGCAGCCTGGCACCAGGGTCTTTGTTCTTTTCAGTCCACCTTACAGAATAGCAAGGGGGGCAAACTCAGACATACAGAGAGGGAAATGCACAGGCTACAGTCCCATCCATGGAAGAGGAGGAAACAATCTCATCGAATGAGGTGACGCTAAACCATAATTACATTTGTCAGTCTTTGAAAGGTCAATTCTACTACGGGCAAAAACCAGAATCACTTCTGGAAAATTACTTGGAGAGTTAAATGGAATTCAGACAGAGAAACCAAGTTATTCTACTCCAGGTTTACTTGGGATTAATAGTACATGAAAGGCTTATAGGAAATTTAAAATCAATGAATTAAAACCTAGTAGGGGGCCGGCGCCATGGCTCAATAGGCTAATCCTCCATCTGTGGCGCCGGCACACCAGGTTCTAGTCCCAGTCGCTCCACTCCTCTTCCTGTCCAGCTCTCTGCTGTGGCCCGGGAGTGCAGTGGAGGATGGCCCAAGTGCTTGGGTCCTGCACCTGCATGGGAGACCAGGAGAAGCACCTGGCTCCTGGCTTCGGATCAGCGTGGTGTGCAGGCCGCAGTGGCCATTGGGGGGCGAACCAACGGAAAAGGAAGACCTTTCTCTCTGTCTCTCTCTCTCACAGTCCACTCTGCCTGTCCAAAAACAAAAAAACAAAAAAACAAAAAAACAAAAACAAAACAAACCCAAAAACCTACTAGGGGGGAAAGGCGTTGTATCCCAAAGGATTAAGCCACTTGGGATGGGACACCTGTATCACATGGTCCCGACTCTTCCAGTTCTGATCCAGCTTCCAGCTTCCTGCTAATGCACACCCTGGGAGGCAGCACATAATGCCTCAAATACCTGGGTCCCTGGTATCCACAGCCCCAGCTGGTGTGGGCATTTAGGGAGAGAACCACAGTGGATGGAAGATCTTCCCTCACCCCCCCGCTCTATCACTCCACTGCTTTTAAATAAATAAACAGATCTTAAGAAAAACCAAAACCCTAGTGAAAACCAGGGTAGTATTTGTCTACAGCATAGCTTAATGAAGCATAAGACAAACATGTTAAAAACAGGAAGACTGCTGTATCCACGGCTACACCAACAACTGATTCCCTGCAGCAGGTCTAAGCCCTGCTAGGGTCTTCACAGCCACAGGCCCACAAGCATGCCAATCTACCCGATGGCACCCTTGGAATCTAAGGCTCAGAACACTAAGCATGATTCAATTGGTAAAAATAAAATAGAAAACAGTCAAGAAAAGACTCACTGTAGGTGGCATCAAGCTCGAGTATCCACTCAATTAAAGGGATGAAAGTGAAATGCTTTTAAGTCCCAGTATATAAAGTACATTAAAAACGTTCATACATTTCCAATATTCTGATGCTGGAGCTGACAAGATATGGCTTCTATTTTAGAATTAAAAAAATCAGCATACCAAAAACATTATAACAAATAAACTCCTGCCCTTTCTACTATGGTCAACATTTATTATAAATTAGACTAAGTCAGACACTCTGCTTATCACCAAAACGGTGAACTGATGCTTGGGATATTGCTCAAGAGTTTGGAAGAATGCCAGCTCTGGGCACATCTCTGCGCTCTGGACTTCGGCAAGAGCAAGCAGGAAGGAATTTATCAATTCAGGCTTTTTCAGACTGCTCCTCTGGACACATTAATCAACTGAATTCTGATTTTACTTGTCTTCTCTTTCTTTTGACCACAATACTAACCTATACTATTTTCTAAAGAGTGATTCTGCTCATTTCTTTAAGGTTGATACTGAGATAAGGAAAACAGAGGAGTGCTAATTTTGATCAAAAAGCTGACTCTGGAATTCCTTGGGGTGGGGCTATTGGGGCTCATTCACATTCCAAACAGAAATTCCTCTCCTTTATGAAGAGGGCCACCAGCAAAACTTCCTTATTTTGTGTCAAGAGCTAAAGACTTTCAAACTATCAATTCTAAATTTTAGAGGTACATATAAAAATTCCAGATGTCACTGAACGATTTTTATGTTTCTTGTTTAGAATACAGAGAATTGTTTGCTTTGTGTGTCTGCCTCACACAGCTGAGGAATGCTTTAAGGGGCTAAGGTCACTTGTGTCATGTCCAGGACCACCTGTAAACTTAGCGTTTGTCTTTAGAACGTATGTGGCCACATGTTTAATGTGTTATACATTTACATACACAGTTGTTTTTAAGCTGTCAGAAAATAAGTACACTACTTGAAAAATAAAAGTGCTTGGGTACCACCGGGGCACATGTACTGCACAGGCGAAAGATTGATCAAAGTGAAACTTAATTTTGACAAAAAACACTGACACCATCCTTATAGGAGTAGCTATTTCATCCCTGCCAAATGGTTTTTGTTTTTAGTCAGACTCTCTTTTAAGGAAGCCATTTTTCTTACTTGTCTAACTTAGAGGTTGAAGGCTAACATCTATTTATTCCCAGTTCTTAATCAAGATCATTGGATTATCTCAGTTTACTAAGATCTAAATCTGGACCATGTGTTTTTACTGGATTCTTTACAGAAGCCTAGCAAATAACTAGAATTCTGTTATCAGGTGATCCACGTCTTTCCATAATCAAGGAAAACAAGCAATTCTAGTATTAAGTTTTACATCTCATAAAACAAATGAATTTTATGTATCACTGAGTCAAGTTACTTGACCTCACTGCTTCAGTTTCACCTGTAAAATGGAGACATTATCTATCAATATCTAACTCAGAACTTCAGGAGGATTGAGTTATGATGTACACACAAAGCGCTATTTAGTGCTCATTATTTGAAAGCGATTCCTTACTAGCTGAACCCCGGTGCTCTGTATTCTAGAAAAGGCAGTGACCACGCAGGACCAGACTGTAAGCACATTACTTGAAGTATATTCTGCAAAGCCATCTTCTCCCAGTTCCAGAACCATCCGCTGTTTCCACCTCTCCAAATAGAAAACTTGTTGTGGTGTCATGGTGTGCTGAAGGATCCGGGTCACACTCGGAATCACTTTCTTTTGCAGGGGGATTTTCAGAGGAACCGAAGGGTCGCTTGCATCGGGTCTCACGTCCCTCTCCGGATTGAAGATCGGAAACCAGTTTCGCGGAACTTTTGCTTCCTTATCCTGCTTAGGGGGATGACGCTTACTGACAGGTCCGTAGAGCAAAGCGTCTTCCTCAAACAGAGATTCTGGGGTCTGGGCAGAGCCTCTGCATGACAACACAGAGCGTACTAAATCAGAGTATTTTCCTTGGTCCACTTCTTCGTAAGGGTTCATCTTTTTCTTCCGGCCAAAGCAGTAAGAGGAAGTGAAGAAATTCATCCGGGGAGCCGGTTCCCCAGGGAACCCCTTGGAAGGCCTGAGCTGCCTGCAAACGGCCTGAAAAGCCTTCATCTCTGATTTCCAGTCTTGTGTCCTTTTTGTCTTCCTATTAAAGAGAGAAGCAGTGTTAGGTACCAGACACGTCGAGTATCCGAATCACCCGGGCGGAAGCTGCATCAGAACGACATCGATCGCGCATCGAGAGCGCGGTCAATGAACTTTCCCCGCACGTTCGGACAAGGCGGTAACCCACGAAAGGGTCATCACTACCACAAGGGCCAGCGAGACGACCCCAGTCCCTTCATCTGAAAGAGGACGCCCGGAAAGGGGAGGCAGGGGCGACTCAACGAGGGAGCCCGCCCCGCCGCGGCCTCGGGTCCCAGGTTAACAGTCCCCTGCCTCCTAAACACTGGGCTCTTCGCTAAATACTCCGTGTACGTGACTCTGAGGACTTTGACAACCTCGTTTGACAGACGTGGGATTCCAGCTGCCGGAGCAGGGTTGGAGCAGGCAAGTGGCGGGCGTCCCCAAAAAGCTACTTCCTGATGGCGCCGGCAGGATGGCGGGGGCCCCTCGGGCAGGAGTCTGAGTTAGGGAAGAGCTCTAAATGGAAAACCAGCCTAAAGCATGGGGGTCGGTACCTCAAAAGCCACCACGCTTCGCTTAAGTCCCGGAGCCCCAATAACCTCTCGGGACCCGTACTTTCATCGGTCCCGCGCTTTGGTCTGGAATTAAGCCCCGCCCCCAGACAAGACAGCCCCAGCATGCACTGCGCTACTCACGCCCCACCTCCTCGCCTCTCGTTCACCTCCAAAGTCGCGCGCTTTGTGGGAGGCACCGCCTCTGCCCCTCCCCTTAGGCGGAAGCGCGGGCGCTTCCAAATCGCGCCCGTTCGCGCTCTCACGAGATCTTGAGTACGTCACCGCTCGTCGCCATCTTGGACTCGGGCTGAGTAATAAATTCGCCCGCAGCAGAGCGCGCTCTTTCTCGAGACGTGCCTCGCTCAGAGAGTGCCCGTGGCTCCGCGTTCTCGTCGCGGTCCTGCGGTCAGCGGCCTCCGCGTGGTGCGGAGCGAGGGTAGGCCCCGCGTTGCTTCTTTGCCCGGCTTCAAGATGGACGGCAGCGGGGACGGGGGAGGCCGCTCTGGGGGAGCACGTGGCGCGCCTCCCGCCCGCTCCCGGGGCTGCTGGGATGGTGGCGGAGTGTGGCGGCCTCCCGCTGCCGTCGTGCCGGGAGGCCAGCGGAGGCGGGGCCGCGGCCGCCCCTGAGAGGCGCCCCGGCGGCGGCAGCCCAGCCTCTTCTTTCCTCGCACAGCCAGGCGGCACCTGCTCGAGGCCCGCGTCGTCATGGCCGCGGTTCCCGAGTTGCTGCAGCAGCAGGAGGAGGACCGCAGTAAGGTGAGGGCTAACCCGCCGACTTCCAGGGGCCCCCCACGTTCCTCCCTCGACCCTCCCCGGGGGGCCCTGCCCGACGCGGGAGGCACCCGTGAGCTTGGGGCAGACCCCGTGGACCCCAGGGAGAGCAGAGACGCGCGGCCTTGCTCAGAGGCCAGTTCCCGTGTTAATCCCTGCAGGCTCCAGTTTTTTCTTTTCTTTTCTTTTTTTTTTTTTAACGCAAAGATTACCAAACTTCCCTTGATAACGTGGTGGCTGGAAAGGGGATGTGAGATCCACTTGACATTGCAAAAACGACCCGTTGGGCCTGTTGTCTCCGAATTGGCGCCATCTCTCCCTTTTTGGAGAAAACGATCTCTTGGCTCAGACCACTGGGCGAATTCCCATCAAATCAAGTATACGAACCACGCTTCCTTCAACTCGATAAACACCAAACGCATTGTCGTGGGGATTGTGTGGGCTTTAGTAGGTGCTCAAATACTCACTGAAGTCGGTCTTAGGTTTTGAAGTCTGATGTGTCTGGATAAATCGCCCGCAGGCCGCGTGCTGAGGGTTGAGCGGTTACTAGCGTAATTAAATGAGGTTAGCGTAGCCAGTTGACGGTCCAGAGGCTTGCCCTGCGCTCCTGTTGGCTCGTGCGATGCTTACGGTTTGTGAGTCAGGACTTTGCGTGCACAGTCGTCAGCATCATAGATTTTGGTGATAGAAGGAATAACAGACCCTCAGGGAGCGGTCTTAAAACTCGCATTTCTGGAGCAGTCAAAGGCACCTTCCAATGGTGACACCTTCCTGTGCGTGCACAGCACAGTTGGGCCCAGAGCGCTGGACTGTAGGAACAGGAGTACCCTGTGTCCCTTAACAAAGTAGAGCGTTGTGCTTGGGAGCATCTTGGTTCTCTTTTGAAAGTTGAAAGAAGTTTTTTTTTTTTTTTTCTAAAACTGGAAGTCAGAACTTTGAGACTTTTATTTTTCCCCAGAACACTTTCCCTAAAGTGTTGGGACTGGATATGAATTTTTAGAGCCATTTGTGTTTTACTCTTTCTGGAACTTAATTCCTTCTGGCTGTCCTGAGCCAGGAGCAGTTAAGGAAAAGGACTTGATTGCCTAAGCTCCATCTCCTTACTTGTTGCAGCTTTGGTATAAAAAGACCTCCTCCCCCAGTCTGATTCAGCAAAATTTGCAGGCTGCCAGGGACTTTAACTGTCTCCTGGTTTTAGTGGCTCAGAAACTTCTGATTTTTTTTGAATTACAGAAATGAGATAAAACTAAATATTAGCCTTTTTGCTTCCTGATCTATGCTTACAGTAGTGCTGTGATTGATCAGATCTAGGGAGTAAGGGTGCGTATGAAGTGGTAATGAGAGGCCAAGTCATGGGCTAACTTGCCACATTGCAGTTCTGTCAGTTCACCGAAATATTTTGTACTTGTTTAAATATTCTGATTGTATGCTTTGGAATTTCCATGAGGGTGGATTTCATGGATTTGCTCACCCCACCCACCATGAGGTTAAAAATAGGGAATGCACTGGATTCTTGAGTTTGAGCGCTGTTGAGCAATAGTCATTTTGTCTACTTCAGCAGAAGACTTTCATTTTGTAATATCATTTAGCCAAAGATGTTGGGATGTTTTTCCTTCCTCAAAAAGTGGATTTCAAGAGAGTTAAGTAGTTAGTGTAGTTCTTAGTTCTCTACTAATGGTAAAGAGTGTATATAACGATAGAATTTAGAAAACCAGAGTTTAGCCAATACGTAAATTCTGTTGATGCTACCTGGGTCTCCAGGCTTTGAGTTTGCCAATAGTCATGGAGTAAGCAGCTGGCCCCTATATTTAGGTGACCCTCATGGATTTAATGTATACCTTGAGGGATTCTTTGGGGATGAGTCATTTCTGTTAGTCTAGCAAACACTTGCAAATCAAATGTAACATTGTAGTTCTTGGAGTCCTGCCCCTTGGCTTTTCTTGATTATGAAAACTTAAGATTTCTCTGCTTTATAATTGCAAATGGGTGGAACTAAGTTGAACTCGTGGAAAGGTAAGGCTCTGCAGGTGCTGGGCCCTGGGCCGGGTGACCTAAACTTTCACAGGTTGATACATGGCTTTGGGTTGATACATGGTTCATGTTGGCGCATGCGTGTGTGTGTGTGTGTGTGTGTGTGTGTGGTTTTAAAGGTTTTATTTATTTGAAAGAGTTACAGAGAGAACTTCCATCCACTGGTTCACTGCAGGTAGCTGCAATGGCCAGGCAGATACCAGGGACTGGAAGAAGCTCCTGGCTGTTGGCTTCAGATTGGCCCAGCTCTGGCTCTGGCTGTTGCAACCATTTGGGGAGTGAACCAGCAGGTGGAAGACTTTTGTCTCTCCCTCTGTAACTCTGCCTCTCAAATAAATAGATAAAATCTTTTTTTTTTTTTTTAAAGGAGCTCCCTGGTCTCCCAAGTGGGAGCAGGGGCCAAACACTTGGGCTGTCTGCTGCTGCTTTTCCCAGGCCATTAGCAGGGAGCTGGATTGGAAGTGGAGCAGCCGGGACATGAACTGGTGCCCATATTGGATGCCAGCACGGTGTTGGCAGGCAGTGGCTTCACCCCTATGCCACAATGCTGGCCCCTGCAAGTATAGTAGTTTTTTTTGTTTGTTTTTGCAAGTATAGTTTTAAAAAACTGGTAAGGAAGCTACCTCTTAAGGGCATCAGCTGGGATGAAGGTGTGTCTGATTTGTTAGTATGGAAACAGTCCTGAATTTTGACCAATACTGCATGAAGCTCAAACTTACCAGTTCTTATAGACTGAAGTTTCCTGCTGTATTCAAGCTTTTTTTAATTCAGGAAGTGTGTCTTAAGCACTGCCCACACTGACAGTTCTGCGTCAGTGACTTGCACACAGCCAGCATCTTAAGGCCCCTATTTGTGAGTGCTACATTAGCATTCATGATCTGCTCACATTTCTAGTTTTGACTTATTCAAATTCTCAATCAGTGAGACCTAGAAGGTGACTTACACTTAATCTGGGACTTTAGTTTAAACCAGAGTTTCTCAGTCTGAGCAGTGTTGACATTTTCTTTCCTAGGGATTGTCCTGTGTTGTAGACTGTTGAGCAACATGGGTGGCTTCCTACATGACAGCAGCCTTCTCCTGTTTTTTTTTTTTTTTTTCTTTATTAATTTGCGAGTCAGAGAGAAAGAGGTCTTCCATCTGCTGGTTCACTAGATTGGTGCCTTGAATGTCTCGGGTAGGTCAAGAAATGGGCAGTGAGGTTAGATGCATTCCATCCCCTAACTTGTAGTGAGGGCATAGACGTGTCTCCCCTGGATGTGGTAAAGTGAAGTACAGAAGTGTCTCACCTGTGGCTGTTGTTTTCTGACTGGCTGTTGAGTTACTCTGAGATGCCTCTCCTAAAAGAGGAACATGGAATTGAGTGGTTTTGCAACTTAAAGGCAGATAATAAATACAGCAGAGAAGTGTGTAAGTTGCAGTTGGAGGGCCAGAGGAACTGAGCTGAACAACAGTTTAAAAATTAGGTCTTTGGCTTGACTCTTCCCCTTTCTGCAGATTGACGTAACTTTTTCAACTGCTGCATTCCGGTCTGGAGAGTAAAGTGTGATTTTCTGCTTTTGTTAGCCTGAGCTCTGTCTGAAGGGCGTGCTGGTCAGTGAAGAGTACAGATGCGGTAGCTTCAAGTCTGGGCTTTCAGTGGTCTTCAGAGAAGAGCAAGCCAACACTGGGGCACTGTGCTCATGGTTACCAAGGAGCTGGTGGGTGATAAGTAAGCTTTGGAATATTTGCATCTGGAAAATGACCCTCATCATGCTCAGTCCGCCCATAGAGCAGGCAGCCTTCTCTCCATGCTGCCATTGTGTCTTGAACTGCGAGATGGCTGGTAAGTTTTAAATTCCTATAGTTCTGCCGTGCTCCTGAATTACCTTTCTTAGTAATGAAGATAAATGTTTTCATCTTGGTGATCCTGAAATGAGATCACATAAAGGGCTGGCAGTGAATGTTCTTATACTCGCTTCCACTTGAGTAACCAGAACAGTGTGTCAGCTTTGTCACAGATGTCCTCCAGTTGAAGAACCTGGGAAGGAAGGGAGGTAGACTTGAGGGCATCTACTGTAGGGGAACGGCTTTAGCACTGAGTAAAGGAAGAAATTAGTTTTTTCTTTTATTTTGGAGTTGCTTTCTTTGCTGCAGTGGTGTGCTAATTCCCATTAGGATTTCTGTGCTAGGGAATCCAGACAAATCATACATGGGGACTTCAAACGCTCTATGGAAAATGGGACTTCCATGAACTTTATGAAGACCCCTTTGTATAGCTGAAGCCTTTTTGTGAAATGATTTGACAATCCAAATGGGATTTCTGGACATGATTTAGTTACTTAGGGTAGTCATTTAGTTGATTTCTCTCTCCATGTTGAGATTCAATTAGCGCATGGGCTTGCAACCTTGTGAAATGATGATTCAGTTTATCCATTCGCTGAGTGCGCTGTACTGACCGTCTTCCAAACCTCAGTTCCTGTTCTAGGAGCTGGGGCTGTGCAGCCTCCAAATGCCCTGCAGCCTGCAGTGTTCTACTGTGGGCTGCTCGGGTGTTGGTTGGCTGCTGGTGAGAACGGCTAGTGACAGCAGGGGTGAGGCCCTCTGGGCCCATCTCACCAAGATGAGTGGTAAAATCTGATCACTTGCTCGCAGCCCTTCTAGTTTTTTTAGGCTTATTCACGAGAAGTTTTCATAGCTATATGTTAGTAGACAGAGATCTAGAAGTCCTTAGTTTTTGTTTTTTTTTTTTTTTTTTTTTTTTTTTTTTTTTACCTTTAAGAATTAAGATACATTGCAGGTCTGAGATACTGGAAGAACGCCAGCAGGGCACAGGGAATGGCCTGTAAAGGCAGAGTTAATGTATTCTTATCGTTAATGTAATTGTTTTTCATTTGCTAGCGCAACAGAAATCTGGGATAGAATACAGGTAAATTAGCTTTTGATTGTTTGCGGGATGAGGAAGAAAACTGTTCTGAGTACCAGTTCTTTGAGACATTTTAGCCGTTTAGTATCAAAAACTTGAGGCATAAGGTGGAGTTTGAGAGAATGGAAATTTACTTTTCTTGGGGCTGATGCTGTAGCACAGCAAGTTAGCTGGCATTCCATATGGGCATGGATTTGAGTCCTGGCTGTTCCACTTCTGATCCAGCTTCTTGCTAATGTCTTGGGAAAGCAGCAGGGGGTGACCCAAGCGCCTTGGGCCCCTGCATTCATGTAGAAGACCCAGAATAAGCTCCTGGCCCAGCCCTGGTCATTGTGACCATTTTGGGGGGGTGAACCAGTAGATGGAGGATTCTCTTTTTCTCTGCCTGTGTCTCTGTAACTCTGATTTTAAAATAAACAAGGTTAATTAAAAATTATTTTCCTTGTGTGGTGAAACAGTAACATGATAGTATGTTTCCTAGGTGCTGTCTTGTAGATCTTTAATGTGTACAGAAGTTAATTCAAATATGGAGTGTTATAGATTTTATTTTCTCACCAGTGATCATTAGACAAGGTGTGAGTGATAGCATACCTGCTGAGATAGACTCTGCCTTTGCTTTTTATGATGAAAGGAAAATTTGACCCAAGCCGCAGGCTTTTCACCTAGACATTGTGAACAGATCCTCATTGGCAGTCTTGGACAGACATCTTAAGAGTGAAGGATAACAGGCCGGCGCCGCGGCTCACTAGGCTAATCCTCCGCCTAGCGGCGCCGGCACACCGGGTTCTAGTCCCGGTTGGAGCGCCGGATTCTGTCCCGGTTGCCCCTCTTCCAGGCCAGCTCTCTGCTGTGGCCAGGGAGTGCAGTGGAGGATGGCCCAGGTGCTTGGGCCCTGCACCCCATGGGAGACCAGGAAAAGCACCTGGCTCCTGGCTCCTGCCATCGGATCGGCGCGGTGCGCCGGCCGCAGCGCGCCGGCTGCGGCGGCCATTGGAGGGTGAACCAACGGCAAAGGAAGATCTTTCTCTCTGTCTCTCTCTCTCACTGTCCACTCTGCCTGTCAAAAAAAAAATAATAATAATAATAATAATAATAAAAAATAAAAAAGAGTGAAGGATAACAAAGCAAAATCCACAGAGTAACATTTAGAAGGGAAAGCAGGAATGTAGCATGTGCTAGCTAAGTACCTTTCTTAGCTTTGGCAGTAGAAACTAGAAAATCAAATAGATACAAGTTGTCTATCTGGTAGTTTTCCTTCTAATATTCAAAGTGGAAACAGTGGTCTGGCATTGTATGTTATATATACAGCTGGCTAAATTTAAATGACTATTGGACTAGCCCCCATCTAGCTTACCAGTTACTGCAGAATTTATTTCTTCCAACTGTGTCCTGTTGCCTTGGTTATATAGCATTAGTCAAACAGTTTGCTGGTACCACAACAACTTAGATTTATCATACTTTAGTTTGTATTTTCTCTGTTCCCTTTGTGGGTTCTGAGTTTTGGGATCTCCTTTTGTGATGTTCAGCTTCATAGGTACCTTTTGCCATCTTTTGAGTCTTTAAACCTGTTTAGGGAGAGGGGGCACTGCTGGTGGTGTTACATGTGTCACATGTGCCAGGGTGAGTCATGAGATTTGGACCAAAAGTGAGTACTTGAAGACAGCTCTGCAAGGTCTTGGGGTGCCCCAGCTGGGGGGTTGTTGATCAGGTGAGCAACTGCATAGTGAGTCATCCTCTGAGACATTTTCTGGGGCCTGCCCTGTGGCACGGCAAGGTAAGTGAGCAGGTTAAGTCACAGCTTGGCAGTGCCAGCATCCCCATATGTGCGCTGGTCTGAATCCCAGTTGCTCCACTCCCAGTCTATAGTTTCTTGCTAATGTGCCTGGAAAAGCAGTGGAGGATGACCCCCTGCATGCATGTAGGGGACTTGGATGGATTTCCAGGCTCATGGTTTTGGCCTGGCCCATCCCTGGCTGTTGTGGCCATTTACTTAGGGACTGAATCAGTGGATGAAAGATTCTGTCATTCCCTCCCTCTCTCTGCCTCTCTAATTCTTTTTTTTTTTAATTAATTAATTTATTTGAAAGGCAGAGTTAGAGAGGTCTTCCATCTGCTGGTTCACTCCCCAAATAGCTGCAGTGGCTGGAGCTTCTTCCGGGCTCCCATGTGGATGCAGGGGTCAAAGGATTTCCACTGTTTTCCCAGGCCATAGCAGAGCGCTGGATCAGAAGTGGACCAGCCGGGACTTGAACCGGCACCCATATGCAATGCTGGTCCCTGCCTTTCTAATGGATAAATCTAAAAAAAAGAAAAAGAAAAGGAAAAAAGAAACCAAACCCCCAAACCAGTACTTTGGTTATCTTGAGATTAGGGAATAGTGAGTTGGGTGGCAAGAGTGCCACCCACCTTCTTAAGCAAGTATGGTGGTAAGGGGTTGTGGAGTTAGTGTCCTTGACTAAGCATCTGCAGGAATGCAGAACTTTGCACCCCACTTGGTGCTTCTGGAGTGAGGGCACGAATGCTGACTTAGAAACGCCAAGCATTTCACAACCCTTTATTACTCTTGGATGTTCTGTGCGTCATTTGGAGGTTATAGGCTATGATATGAGAAAGTTCATTTAGCACAGGGCTAGAGACTGAGCCTGGATGCTCACATTTTGCAGCTATATTTTAGACAATCCTTTAAGACCCAAATACAGGCTGTTTATTTGGTGGTTGAAGCTTTATAAAGTGGTAGGGGTTTGCTCGAATCCTTTCTAGTGTGGGTGCCCGATACCCTGTTAGTCATCAGGCTGCTAACAAAAGCATCAAAAGTTAGTGATTCTGTATTCCTTTGTGTCTTTTTTGACAGGCAGAGTTAGAGACAGAAAGGTCTTCTTTTCCGTTGGTTCACCCCCCAAATGGCTGCTACGGCCGGTGCGCTGCGCCGATCTGAAGCCAAGAGCCAGGTGCTTCCTCCTGGTCTCCCATGCGGGTGCAGGGCCCAAGCACTTGGGCCATCCTTCACTGCCTTCCCGGGCCACAGCAGAGAGCTGGACTGAAAGAGGAACAGAACCTGGGGTGCCGGCGCCACAGGCAGAGGATTAGCCAAGTGAGCCACGTTGCCGGCCTCCTTTGTGTCTTAACATGCATGCCCGAAAAACTATACTCATCAGGGAGGAAGACACTTCATAAAAGAGTTAAGCGTGGGAACCAGAAGATAATCGTTCAGTGGAACAGAAGTTGGCTGGTAAAGTTCATTGTAGCTGTAACTGTGATACTTATGAGATACTTATGAGGAGTGTGTTCATTTGGTAACACCTGCTTTGTCTTTTCAACCCTCATTTCAAAAGTTGGGACAGGCTCCCTCATGGGGAGTTGGACAGGCTCAGCAGCTTTGCTAGGCTTATAGCACGGGAAAAAAGGAATTATCAGCCAGGGTTTGTAATTTCAGGAAATGGAATTGGCTAGTTTTGGGGGATGCATTTTAGGCCTATCCTGTGGGCTGTCCTGTCTCTAAACAAGTGTTCATTGCTACTCTTACACTTAGTTCATTTTATTCCTCTGCGTGGGCCTGTCTGACCCCTGGCAGATAGAAACATAAGGTAGGTGAAGTGGCCAGTGTTGCTCTGAAATCGCATTTTGGTTTGTACCCTGGTATTTTTGAAGGTTGTATTTGCCCCATGGAAACTTACTTGAAGAAAGGAAGCTCTTACCAGAAATAAACCAGAGCTGGAGTCCTTGTTGTGATAAAAAAGAAAAAAAACTAAAACTCTTTAAAAAAATAAGGGCCAGACACTTGGGGAATTCTCTTGCCTTCCCAAATACATTAGGAGGAAGCTAGATTGAAAACAGCAGTGGGGATTTAACTTGGTACTAACAGGGGATGTTAGCAACACAAGGTAACCTACTGAGCCTTGTTAATACTTCTTGAATGTTCTTTGTACTTTGGCATTTATGTAATAAGTTAGGTTTTGTTCTTTCTAGGCATCCAAGCTGTCTTAACATACAGTTAAGTATTTGGCTAAATATTTCTCATGTAGTTATAAAGTGTGTGATGTACACTGCATTAGAAGCATATTACAGGACTCAGGCACGTGAAGAGTGAAGTTTTCGCTTGAAGTGAAGATCTCAAAACTTACTTTGTTCTAAATGATCTAATGAAGACTACTTTTAAGTAGTTCCCATGTTTGAAGGGTAATTTTGGGGGCTAAAACATTAGAGACTAATATAAAACAAATGTATTTCAGCTGAGATCTGTATCTGTGGACCTGAATATTGATCCTTCACTTCAGATCGACATACCTGATGCACTCAGCGAGAGAGATAAGGTCAAATTTACAGTGCACACCAAGGTAAGTGACTGCGTAATACTAAGAGTTCTGTCTTGTACCAGCACCACGTGAGGACCTGTCACTTGCAGTAAGCATCAGCTACTTGCTGATGCTTCAGCTTTCTGCTTCCCTGGGGCTGAGGGTGCTGCTGGTCGTTAAGTGTGGTCTGTATTCTTGAGAAAGCCTAACAGGCAGAGTAATGCAGCAGTCACCCACCTACACAGCCCAAGGCTTCCACCTTTGGTTTTTTGTTTGACTCTAAGGGAAGTGTCCATCTTTCCCTAATTCCTGAGTTTAGAAGGTCTTCTCCCCTGTTGTTAATGCCTCTGTGACTTGGTTGCCACATCTCACTTGATAAGGAGGCAATGAGAAGACAGGCAATGGGATTGATTCTCTGCCTGCTTTGTGCTGATGAAAGCAGATGAAAGAAGCGTGCAATTCTGGCCTCTGGGTGGTCATTGCAGGCTTTAGAAAACTGTTTTGTGTAAAGAATTTTCTTAGAGATGTGGTTTGATCTTAGTCTTCATGGGGGAGTTTATTTCTGCTTTGTTCTTTGTGAATACAGAATTTTCCCATAGGCAGCCCAGGAAACCCAAACCGCTTTATCTAAGAGTGGTAGTTACCACTTAAATTTCTCTCCTTTCTTTACAGACCACACTGCCCACGTTTCAGAGCCCAGAGTTTTCTGTTACAAGGCAGCATGAAGACTTTGTGTGGCTACATGACACACTCACTGAAACAACAGAGTATGCTGGGCTTATTGTGAGTGCTTTTTAGAAAACAAGTAATTGAACTAGTTTCTTCTTTTTATTTTAATGGTTCGTGAAAATCTTATTTTATCTGCTTGCTAGGATGTTTGCTAATTCTTTACTGGTAAAGTTTTTTTTTTTTTTTTTAAAGATTTATTTTATTTGAAAGAGTTAGAGATAGAGAGAGAGGTAAAGATAGTTCTTCCATCTGCTGGTTCACTCCCCAATTGGCCGCAACAGCCAGAGCTGTGCCGATCCAAAGCCAGGAGCCAGGAGCTTCTTCTGGGCCTCCCACGTGGGTGCAGGGACCCAAGGACTTGGGCCATTTTCTACTGCTTTCCCAGGCCATAGCAGAGAGCTGGATTGGAAGTGGAGCAGCCAGGTCTCAAACCGGTGCCCATATGGGATTCTGGTGCGTCAGGCTAGGGCTTTAACACTTTGTGCCACAGCGCCGGCCCCTACTGGTAAAGCCTTAAAATGTACATGGAGAATAAACAGCTATGAAGTGAAGCATAGTGTATCTACTACATGTACAAGGGTAAAAAGCTGAATACTTTAAGTCTTGATGCACTTGTGTATATGTTTTTTCCTCTGGCATTATTTATTTGAGAGGCAGAGAAAGCTCCCATCTGCTGACCCAGTCCTCAGATGACTGGTGGACTGAGACTAGGCCAAAACTGGTAGCTGGTAACTACATGCAGGGCTCCCAACAAGGCAGGTGGTGATGGTGTTGATGGCAGCAGAAACCCAACTACCTGAGCCATCACTGCTGCCTCCCAGTGTCCTTATTAAATAAATAGGAAGTTGGTTGAACCCAGATACTCAGCTGAGGCCAAATGCCCTGTGGTCGTTTCTCTGGGATATCTGTAGAATTGATTTCTGGAAACCTCAATTTTGACTTATCAGAAGTGCTCCAGCAGTAAAGGAGATAGTTGTCAGCCTTCAAGTTAATTCTTGGCCATAGGAAAAAGGACTTCATATGAAATTTACATGTCTTGTCTTATCGCACACCAAATCATTACCCTTTTTAAAGATTTATTTATTTATTTTTTCTTTTCTTTTCTTTTTTTTTTATTTAATGAATATAAATTTCCAAAGTACGATTTATGGATTACAATGGCTTCCCCCACATACCGTCCCTCCCACCCACTACCCTCCCCTTTCCCACTCCCTCTCCCCTTCCATTCACATCAAGATTCATTTTCGATTATCTTAATATACAGAAGATCAGCTTAGTATACATTAAGTAAGGATTTCAACAGTTTGCTCCCACACAGAAACATAAAGTGAAAAATAATAGATGATTTTTTTTAAATGATGATGAAATCAGATCAGACCTATTGTCATGTTTAATCCCAGTGAGAGTCAAGTTGGGAGTTGATAATTTCTTTTTTTTTCTTTTTTTTTTTTTTTTAACAGAGGATCAGTTTAGTATACATTAAGTAAAGATTTCAACAGTTTGCACCCCCATAGAAACACAAAGTGAAATATATTGTTTGGGTACTCGTTATAGCATTAAATCTCAATACACAGCACATTAAGGACAGAGATCCTACATGAGGAGTAAGTGCACAGTGACTCCTGTTGTTGACTTTACCAATTGACACTCCTGTCTATGGCATCAGTAATCTCCCTATGCTCCAGTCATGAGTTTCCAATGCTATGGAAGCCCTCTGAGTTCTCCGATTCTTATCTTGTTTAGACAAGGTCATAGTCAAAGTGGAGGTTCTCTCCTCCCTTCAGAGAAAGGTACCTCCTTCTTTGAAGACCTGTTCTTTCCACTGGGATCTCACTTGCAGAGATCTTTTGCCAGAGTGTCTTGGCTTTCCATGCCTGAAATACTCTCATGGGCTTTTCAGCCAGATCCGAATGCCTTTAGGGCTGATTCTGAGGCCAGAGTACTATTCAGGACATCTACCATTCTATGAGTCTGCTGAGTATCTCACTTCCCATGTTGGATCACTCTCCCCTTTTATTCCATCGGTTAGTGTTAGCAGGTACTAGACTTGTTTATGTGCTCCCTTTGACTCTTAGTCCTTTCATTATGATCAATTGTGAACTGAAATTGATCACTTGGAATAGTGAGATGGCATTGGTACATGCCACCTTGATGGGATTGAATTGGAATCCCCTGGTATGTTTTTAACTCTACCAACCCAAATGACTTCTTAGTAACTGAACAAAACTAATACTGACACTTGTATTTAAAAATATTTACTTCATTCTAAATTAGACTATATTTTGATTATCCTTTGGAATTAGAAAAACATCTTGATGGTTAATTCCCAGTTGTAAGCATTGTCACAGTAGTTTCAGGCTGACATTGAAGCAATACATTCTCGTGCTTACTGATTGTAATGGGTGAACTGAACACATAATGTGGTCGAAGTGAGTGCCTGGCTGTAGGGAGGACACTGCTTTTTAAATGGTCAGAAGGAATAGGTAAAGAGAAAAACAGGAGTGGATTGGATGGCTGGCTTCTGTGTGCCAGCCAGAGCAGGGTATTCATGAGTTCTGCCTCTCTGCTACAGATTCCACCTGCACCTACAAAGCCTGACTTTGATGGCCCTCGTGAGAAGATGCAGAAACTTGGAGAGGGTGAAGGGTCTATGACCAAGGAAGAATTTGCCAAGATGAAACAAGAACTGGAGGCGTAAGTGGATTTTTTTGAACTCATCTTGTGAGAAGTAGAGAAAAATGGTGCCATGTACAGAAATAAGTAGAAGCTGACAACTTTTTAAAGCCATTCTCTAGCAGAGTTTTGGGGCAGACTATGAATGTACTTTGAAGAGATGCTGATCTCTTAGGGAAGAAAGACAAATTGATGTCTCTAAGTAATTTTTCAAGCTGCTGCTGATCTAGTTTGGTTACTGGAAGGAAGTATTGGAGGAATTTGATCACAGTGAATGCTGTTACAGAGAAGCATTCTGAATAAGTTACTGGCTGGTCCTCAGGTGGCATATTTTTGCCTTGTAATTTTAATTATTTCAAGGAAATTTTTTATTTGTGTCAGTTCTAGGTCTGTGTTACAGAGAACTGAAAAATACCAAATGTTCTTGAAGTAGTACTTGTTTCTCTAAAATCAAATGTGGACTCAGACCACATACCATAATATCTGAAAGGGTAGGCAAAGAATAGTGTATACTTCTCCTTTTACTTCAGTGAGTTTTTGGAACATTTCTTATGAGATCTTTGGGCTTCTTTATCTTGGCTCAAAAGCACTTTCCCCATCAGCCTTTTAGAATTGGGGTGAATTTCCTGTTCATTACCTCTGCAGCTCTGCCTCAAGCCCTTGTTACCTGGGGCTGTACTCACACCCTCATCATGGAATCATTCAGTACATGCTTGCATGCCTGGGCTGACCAGGTCTGGGGTGGAGCACTGAGCCCAACAGACCAGGTTCCTTCCAGCAGGAAGTTTAGAGATCTTTAATGCCTGTGTTGACCTAAAGCTGCTGTGTAATTTCTGCTCACACCGTGCTTTATTAGATGCATGCTGTGCAACATGGCTGTAGGAACATGTTCTGGGGCTGTTAGATAACAGCAATATTAGCATGTAGTTTTGGAACAAACATGTGATCCATCATCCAGCTATATCATTGCTTTCAGTGGTTGGTTCATTCCACAGATTCCAAAATTGCAGTTACTTTATACCTAACTAGAAACCAAGTTGTACCAAAATATTTTGGTTCAGTTGTGCAGTTTTTTACTTAGTACCGTAAGCCGAACCATGAATACATCTGGGAGTAGCCTTGGTTAGGCAGTGTAGTGATGCCAACTGAAAGCTGTGTGCACATCTCTTTTCAGTGAGTATCTCGCTGTCTTTAAGAAGACTGTGTCCTCCCATGAAGTCTTTCTTCAACGGCTTTCTTCTCATCCTGTTCTCAGTAAAGATCGCAACTTTCATGTTTTCCTGGAATATGATCAGGATGTAAGGCCTTTTAATTCCATTTCCATGATCCAGTTTAAAAAATGTATAAGATCTTTACAGTTTCTGAAAGTTCTGAATTTCTTTTCAACACAACAAATCTTTTAGATGCCACACCCAACCCCATTATTTAAGTCAGTTTTTAAAATTCTGCTCAAAGAAAATTTTAATCTTTTGTTCTCCTTCCCTAATTAGTTCTCAGTTTAGTTTGGGATATTAGTAGGAACTTAAATTGATCTACATTTGTTTTGTTCTGCTGATAGTAGCCTTTTTGTAGAAAGGAATTCATATTGTAGGTTCCTGCTACTTCGTGTGAGCCATGCCCTGACTTTGAAATGTCTTCAAACCCATGAAGCTTAATAAACAGTGTAAATAAAACAGAACAGTAGTAATTCTCACAAGGATTTAAAAGCCACCAAGACTTTGTGCCTAGATAGTTATTCAAAATATCTCCCAAGTTACCCTTTAGAAATGAGATAGCCTATTAGCTTTAGCTATTTGTTTGGTATTTTACATTTGGTTGAGACAGAATTAAAGATTCGTCATACATATATCCATGCTATTAAAGAGTATTGCTTGTACTGTAGAGCTTCTAAGAGAACCTAGAAAAATGTATACCTTAACTGCCGTTTTGGATTTTCTTCTTTTAGCTAAGTGTCAGGCGGAAAAATACCAAAGAGATGTTCGGTGGCTTTTTCAAAAGTGTGGTGAAAAGTGCTGATGAAGTCCTTTTTTCTGGAGTTAAGGTCAGTGGCTTTTGGCTGTTTTGAGAAAAGTGTTTCATGTGAATAGGTGGCCTATTGTCTTGGGAGAGTGATCTATGAAATGAAGAGTGTTAACTTAAGAACTCTAAATTTCCTTCAGATGTTTGGTTATTTTTGTATACTCATTTAGTTTTCACTTATTTTCCGAAAATACCTTGTTCTCTCAGGAAAGGTGATAAGAACTTTTCATCATTTAACTCTTCATTTTCTCAAATGTTGCTGTAAGGAGAGGGGTTAATCAATTTTATGGAAGAAAGTAAGCTTACGTGATCAGGTTTCGTGCTATTCTGGCAGAATTGAAGTGTCCAACAGCCACAGTGTCAGGTAGCCTGGCCGTTAACAGTTAGGGAACCAGGTTGGGTTGTGTGTGTGTGTGTGTGTGTGTGTGTGTGTTTAAGATTTATTTGAGAGAGGGTAAACATCCACCAATCTTCTCCCTAAATACTGGCGGTGGCTGAGACTAGGACAGGTCAAAGCCTAGATACAGGCATTCGATAGAAATTTCTCACATGGATGGCAGAAACCAGTCTCTTGAACCATCACTGCTGTCTCTCAGGAGCCAGAGCCCAGTATCAAACCTAGAAACTAAGATGTGGCCTAACTAGCGTTTAACCACCAAGCCAAACCTTTCTTGTAATTGGACAGACTCAACAGGTTCTATGCATTGTCTGACTTTGCTGCTGTAGGATCTGAGTGGGAAGACCAGAGTACATGTGTTCCAAGTAGAAATTTGGAAACTCTTGGTGCAATTTAAAAGGTGTGGGATTATTCTCTATCCAAGTTTTGTAGGATATTTGATATCCTTGACCACTGCCTATCCAGTGCCAGTGTTGCCTCACAAATTAAAAAATAATAATAACCCATATATACAGCTGCAAGTATCTAAGTTACATCCCACCTTGCAGAACCACTGCACTCAGTGGAGTTGCTGGATCGTAGAGTGAGATCATAGTTTCCTGGGCATTACCAGGATGCTCATCAGAATGGTTCTCTGTTGATGCTTCCTGCCAGTCTTACAAACAGGCAGTTCTCTGTGTAGTGTTAGACTTCATAAGCTTACTTGTCATAATGCATCTTTGGAATTCTGCTTCAAGTTTCTTTTCTTCCGTTCTAGGAGGTAGATGACTTCTTTGAGCAAGAGAAGACCTTCCTTATTAACTACTACAACAGGATCAAGGACTCCTGTGGGAAAGCTGACAAGATGACCAGGTCTCATAAAAGTAAGCACTGTTGACGCACGAGCCACTTGCAGCTTTGCTGACGTGCCTGGCTGGGCTCATGTTGAATGGGCTGTCCTTGTTTCTGCAGATGTTGCAGACGACTATATCCACACTGCAGCTTGCTTGCACAGCCTGGCTTTGGAAGAGCCCACAGTCATCAAAAAGTAAGCTTGTTAGAAATGCATTTTCCCATATGTCCTAGTGGAGACTACAAGTGGTGTAAAAGAAATGAGTAATGACTACATGGGTTCAGTTCTGATCTGGAGTACATGCTCATCTCCAGCCATCAAATCTTAACCCACCCACTGTGTATGGAGAGACACTTAGAGGAGTCATAGAGATGAACACACGCAGTGGCTGTTGTCATAGCCTTTCCTGTCAAATATCTCCAGTCTTTTGCGGATTATGTTAATGCTGGAATTGTCTTTGAGAGGAGTTTGCTTGGGTTGTCTTGGCAGTTGGGGCTTCCTGTTATATGTGCTGATGCCCTGGAGTTTCTTAAAGAACTGTGGTTGTAGTGGTCATGAGAATAATAGGACATCAGTCTGATTTTGCACTTATTTTTCAGTTTCCCCATCCCGGGCATTTTAGTGTGAGGCAATATTCTGCTTCCTGGGCTTAGTGTAACAGGATAACAAGTGACACTACATCTGACTTGCAATCGATTGTCAGGGCTGATGGCAGAACCAGGGGATGAAATGACACTCGTGGTGGTTAGTTATAACCTGACTTTCGTTAATAAAGCATTAGCAGCTGATAGAAGTATGCTGGACAGGGTAGGAGATGGTGTGCGGGCTTCAAGAGAACCTGATGCCAGAGAATGCGATACTGTAAATGGTTTGATTTTTGTACCTTTGTGCCAACTGATGTGAAAGTGTTAATTGGATAATAATCCTAAAGTAGCCATTCCTGAGAGTATTAATGCAATCTTTTGTAGGTGATTTGAGGCTTTAATCCAAAGTCATGTGTGTGTTTTTAGGTACCTGTTGAAGGTTGCTGAGCTGTTTGAAAAACTTAGGGTAAGACTTTTTATCTTGATCTTTCAAATGCATATTTTGTAATCTGTAGATTTGTGCCTTGATGGTGACATGTCCTGTTTTAAATAGAAAGTAGAGGGTCGAGTCTCATCAGATGAAGATTTAAAGCTCACAGAACTCCTCCGTTACTACATGCTCAACATAGAGGCCGCAAAGGTAAGACACTGAGTTCCCTCATCAGCATGGGGCAAGTCCCCCTTATTGTGACCAGAGTCTAATGGCAAAGAAGCAGTTGTTTTGATAAAAAGGAAGGTTACTTTACACTCACGTGGTTAGTAAGATTTATTTGAGAGATAGAGTTAAAGACAGAGGGGGAGAGAGACAAAGCTCTTCCTTCAGCTGGTTCATCCCCCAAATGGCCGCAATGGCTGGAGCTGGGTCGGTCTGAAATCAAGAGTTTTTTCTGGGTCTCCTACGCAGGTACAGGGGCACAAATACTTAGACCATCTTCTGCTTTCCCAGGCCATGGTAGAGAGCTGGATTAGAAGAGGAGCAGCCAGGACACAAACCGGTGCCCATGTGAACAGGTGGAAGCTGAGCCTACTATGCTATAGTGCATATGTCCCCAGTGTCCTGAGCCACAAACATACTTCTGTTTTCATTTTATTTGAAAAGTGACGGAGAAGTCTTACACAACTCAGGACTGACTTTTTTTTTTTTTTTTTTTTTAAGACATTGTATATTTGAAAGGCAGTATTACAGAGAGAGGTCTTCCATCTGCTGGTTCACTCCCCAAGTGGCTGCAGTGGCCAGAGGGGGGCTGATCTGAAGCCAGGAGCTTCTGGGTCTTCCACACAGATGCAGGGGCCCAATGACTTAGACCATCTTCCGCTGCTTTCCCAAGACATAGCAGAGAGCTGCATCGGAAGTGGAGCAGCCGGAACTCAAACTAGAACCCATATGGAACGCCAGCACTGCAGGTGGCAGCTTTACCTGGTACGCCACAGTGCTGGCCCCACAGATAATGTTTTAATTGCCTATTTTAGATACTGTGAGATTGAATAATCTTCATTTTAAATAACAGTGATACAAGGGTTGCTCATCCCTGCTAAATCTTGAGAAAAGGAATGAGGGGCAAGATGCAGAGGCAGATTGATTCTTGTCATCTACCATTTCAGGTTGTTGCATTGGCACCATGGGTACTGGGTTATTTATTTTCTAAACCAGTTGGGATACTTCGTTCTTCTGTTTTTCCCCTGGAGATTTTTATGTTGTACCTGTTGACTGTCTGCCCAGGACCTCTTATACAGACGTACTAAGGCCCTCATTGACTATGAGAACTCAAACAAAGCTCTGGATAAAGCCCGGCTGAAAAGCAGAGATGTTAAGTTGGCAGAGGCACACCAGCAGGAATGCTGCCAGAAATTTGAACAGCTTTCTGAGTCTGCTAAAGAAGGTTGGTCCAGGATATTCTTCTGTACTTGTTATGTGTAATTTCATGCTTAACAGAGAAGAAAGTTACACAGGTGATGCAAAGAACACCCTTAGAATCCCTAAGAATTCCCTAGTTGACTAGGTGTCCCCATGTGCATTGTCACTTGTACACCCGTCTAGCCATTGCATGTGTTTATAAGCACATGCCTTGTTTATTTTACTGTTTTTTTTTTTTTTTTAAAGATTTATTTATTCATTTGAAAGAGTTACAGAGAGAGAGAGGGGTCTTCCATCTGCTGATTCACTCCACAATTGGCCGGAGCTGAACTGATCCAGAGCCAGGAGCTTCTTCTGTGTCTCCCTCGCGGGTGCAGGGGCCCAAGCACTTGGGCCATCCTCCACTGCACTCCCTGGCCACAGCAGAGAGCTGGCCTGGAAGAGGGGCAACCAGGACAGAATCCGGCACCCCGACCAGGACTAGAACCCGGTGTGCCGGCGCCGCAAGGTGGAGGATTAGCCTAGTGAGCCGTGGCGCCAGCTGGTAATTTTGATTATGCAGTCAGATATGAGCCAGATTTCTCCTGCTTAGTTACACCTCCACAGCCATGGTGATGTAATTTGTGTCCATGGGTGTATCTATCTGGTTATCAAAGCTTTCTTCCCAGATTTAGCATGTATTGATGATTCTTACTTGAACCAGTCTTTCCTCTACTCTGACTGCAAAATGGTAACTTCTAGGGCTGACATTGTGGTGCAGTGATGCCTCTGCCTTCAGTGCTTGCATCCCATATGACCCACAGTAGGGTTCTCCCAAATGAACCCTGACTGAATCTGTGAGGTAGGCTGTGTTGAGTTTATGAGGAGATGAAAGAAAAGAATACAGTGCTTAGTTTTGCCATAGTTTCCGGTAAGCCTATAGTCCTGAATTCTGATGGCAATAGAAAGGAAAAAAGATAGTTCCACAGATCATATCTGGTGCAAAAGCACTTTTTACCTTTTTTTTTTAATTATTTATAATTGTATTGCATTTGTCAAGTAAGGTAATGGTTTTGATACAGCGTATACAATGTGGAGTGAGAAAATGAAGGAAAAATGCGCTTTACATTTTGTTGACATTCAAAATTTGATTATTTTGAAATACATAATATGTTATTGACTATTTGGTCACTGTCATGCAGCGAATGTAACTGCTCCTCTCTAGCTAAGACTTTATGCCCTTTGGCCAGCAACACCCTATTCTGCTCCTCTAGCTCCCAGCTCTGCTAACCATCATTTTATCCTTATGCGATGGAAGGGAACTTATAGATTCTGCTTGTGAGGATGCAGCATTTGTCTTTCTGTGACTGACTTCGGAATTCGTACAAGTTGTCCAGATGACAATTTCATTCATTTCTTTGCTCTTTGTTGTGTGTGTGTTTTAAAAATTTATTTTAAGACAGAGACGTCTTCCATCCCCTGGTTCACTTCCCAGATGGCCTGAACATCTGGGCCTGGTAGAACCCAGTAGCCCGGACCTTTATCCCATTCTCCCATGTGGGTGGCAGGAGCTCAAGCCATTTTCCACTGCTTTCCCAAGTGTATTAGCAGGGAGCTGGATTGGAAGTGGAACAGCTAGGACTGGAACTGGCACTCTTGATAGGAGGCTCTGGTGTCCCAGGTGGTGGCTTAACCCACTGCACTACAACACTGGCCCCATTTCTTGCTTTTTTAGTATTTATTTATTTGAAAGCCAGAGTTAGACAGTAGGCCTTCCATCTACTGGTTTGCTTCCCAAGTGGCCACAACAGTCAGAGCTGGGCTTATCTGAAGCCAGGAGCTTCTTCCCAGTCTTCCATGTGGGTACAGGGGCCCAAGAGCTTAGACCACCTTCTATTGCTTTCCCAGAACATTAACAGAGAGCTGGATTGGAAGAGGAGCAGCTGGGACACGAACTGGTGCCCATGTGGGATGTAGTCACCGTAGGTGGAGGCTTTAACCTACTATGCCACAACACTGGCCCCAGCCCTTTGTTTCTTAACGCTGGATAGTATTCATTGTATATGAGAATATACCCCCCCCCCTTTTTTTTGTTAATGGACACTTAAGATGACATCTTGTCTATTGTATGTAATGCTACTATAAATATGGGAGTACAGATGTCCCTTCTTCATATTGATACATGATGAGTCTTCAAAAAGTTCATGGAAGAATACTATGAAAGAAGTATGCATAGATTTCAAAAGTCTGGGCCAAACTAGTTTTAGTTTCATTTTCCATGAACTTCAGTTCCCTGAAGTCATGTTGCTAGATCTTTTTTTGTTTGTTTGTTTTTGGACAGGCAGAGTGGATAGTGAGAGAGAGAGAGACAGAGAGAAAGGTCCCCTTTGCCGTTGGTTCACCCTCCAATGGCATGTTGCTTGAGATGAGCTTTCACTGGTTTAAAGCTATTGGTGATGTTAGTCACACAAACCCTCCTGGCCTGTTGGCTCCTGCAAGGTAAAGGTGAGGCTGCATGTCACAAGGCCCCCGAGTAGTTGGTGCCCTCTGTTATCCTTCCAGTTGTACTTGGCGATCCGGTGCTTGTTACCTACTGAAAAGTATTAACCTCTTCACAGTGGTCCTGCCCTGTGTTACTGCTGAGTTAGAAAAAATGTGAGAAAATAATGGTGGCTTAAGAAATACTTTTGAGATCGTTTACAAGAGTAATACTAAAAGTGAAGGTCAAATTTGTAAACTTGTCCTCTCTTACAGAACTGGTAAATTTCAAGCGGAAGAGAGTGGCAGCATTTAGAAAGAATCTAATTGAAATGTCTGAACTGGAAATAAAGCATGCCAGGGTAAGTAATTTCTTTAATTCAGTAACATTTTAGTGGTTTTAAAAAGTTGTTTGCCAATTCACTGTCTGGTGTCATCAAGTCAACCCGTTGTTGAAGTAATTTTGAGGAGATTATTCTGACCTACCCTGCAGGCCACTCTGAAGAACCTGCCATAGTGATCTCACCAGTGAGCTCCATGGAAAACTGTTTTAGAAGTGGTTGCTTTCTAGTTTACTGAGTATCTTCTGGTGTTCCCATTTGGTTTAGAAAGGAAGACAAACTTCTATTCTCTCCGTAGTGCGTGTTTAATGGCTGTAGCTTAATTAAGCACACAGGCGGTAGAGAATGGTGCTTCTCAGTGCTTGGTACACTTTAGATCTACAGGGATCTTTTTTATTTAGAATCCTTGGGAGTGGATCTTTGGGTGTCTCCAGGGACGCACCTCTGGGGAGCTATCTGGTCAGTGTAACTAGGCCAACCCTTGCATCAGGGTCCATGGGGATAAACCCTTGATTAAAGCAGGGAGACCACAAATGTATGTGTTTTGAAATTATTTTTATTGATTATAGAATAAATACCTTTACTCACTTGCTTACTTTATCAAAATCCTGTTGTATATGGCTTTAAATTGGAGCTTTAAAGTATTTTACATACATCACTCCCAAAATGTTTCTGGATGTAGAATCCTTTATGAATGTTATTTGTACTTTCATTTTTACTTTACCTATAAGTTCTAAAAATTTGGCAATGTGACAGAGAAGGAGAGGCAGAGAAAATCTTTCATCTACTGGTTCACTCCCAGAAAGCAGCAATGGCTGGGTCTGGTCTAGTCTAAAGCCAGGAGCCTGGAGTTCCATCCGCATCTCCCACTTGGCTGGCAGAGTCCCAAGTACTTGGACTATCTTCTGCTGCTTTCCTAGACTGTTAGTTGGGGAGCTGAATCAGAAGGAGCAGCCAGGAGTCAAACCAGTACTCAGGGCATGCCGGCATCACAGGCAGCAGCTTAACCTGCTACCACATAGTGCCAGCCCCACCGGCAGCTTTTCATCTAGCCTTTCCAGGGCCATCAATTTCATCACATTCATTTATGTTATATTTAAATGAAGGAATTAACAGTAAGCAGAACTGGCTTGGGTGCATTTGGTAGCAAGTTGGTTGTAGACATCACTGTTGCTAGAGCCATGTCTGTTAGCCCCTTTCACTGGGAGTGTTTGAGTGAAGAGTAGATTGGGTTTTAATTGGGATTTAAAGGAAAAGTACCATCTAATTTTACCTGGCTTTGCTGGCTTTGAATCCTGTGGGGAAAGCTGTGTCTAGATTTGTGTGTAACCTTTGCAGGTCTTAAGACTCTCACTTTTGGGTTTTTTTCCAGAATAATGTCTCCCTCTTGCAGAGCTGCATTGACTTGTTCAAGAACAACTGATCTACCTTTACTCTGAAGGAAGGAAATGAATGTGAAAGAAAACCAGCATCACTTGCACTTAAATCATTACCATGGAAGATTTATTAGCTTTGACTTTAGTTAAAAATTATGTGAACTATTTTGATTTCTAAAAATCTTAACACTTAACCATGTTGGTTTAAAAATATTTTTATTGCATGCTATTTGGATATAACTAATCTTTTCCTTATGCATTCAATACCTCAAAGTGGGCAAGATATAAATACTGGATACTTCTGTTGTTTGTCTTTCATTACCAAGAGGGTGTAGGAGACATGTGCCTTCTGGAAACCAATAGAAGCAATCACCTGGCACATGTTTCTCCATGTGCTCATGTCCACACAAACTGATTTTGTCAGGCGCCAATTCCAACATAGGTAACAGACATTCCATTCGTTAATTACATAGTTCTCACTCCTTATTACTCATGTTTCTTGAGTCACCTGAAGTGTTTGTATTAGACAATGGCAAGAAAATCTCATTTATCTTTGTATACCCTTTGCAGCTCCATTTTTATAGTTGAGATGAAATGTTCGAGGATAGAGCTATATCTTGGGATACCCATAGACATGGCTACATGAAGGAAGACTCTGCCTACTAGTGGTTGGGGGGTGGTGGATGTGTTTTGGGACTTTTGTCTTCAATAAAGCATATAATGAACAAGAAACAGTGCTGTTGTGTGGAGTGTTTTTGTGGACAGCAAAGCCAGGCTGTGCCCCAAGAAGGCAGTGACAGCTAAGCCTTGACTAGGAGAAGTGTTTCTGCCCAGTGTCCTGTGGGCTTCCATTCTACTCTTTAAAGGGTTTTTTTTTTTTTTTTTTTTTTAGTTTATTTGAAAAACAGTTACAGAGAGAGGTAGAGACTGAGAGAGAGGTATTCCATCTGCTGGTTCACTCCCCACATGGCCGCAACGGCCAGAGCTGTGCTGATCAGGAACTTCTTCTGAGTTCAGGGGCCCAAGGACTTGGGCCATCTTCTGTTGCTTTCACAGGCCATAGCAGAGAGCAGGATCGGAAGAGGAGCAGCTGGGACTAGAACTGGCACCCATATGGGATGCTGGTGCTTCAGGCCAGGGTTTTAACCTACTGTGCCACAGCTCAGGCCCCCAGGTTTGCATTTTAACATGAGTAGTGCTGGGTCCTCTGGGGAGTGTGTTGTCCCTGTACTTCTCCACTGGAGGTTACTTTTTACCCCTGTAGTGACTGACTGGGGGAGATATTCTGATACTATGTTAAAATAAGCTACACTACCCTACTTTTGAAAGGCAGATCTTCCATTCTCTGGTTGACTCTCCCGATGGCCACAGTAGCTGGATCTGGGCCAGGCCAGTCTGGAGCCCAGAACTCCCATCTTTGAGTCTTGTGGGTGGCAGGGATTCAGGTACTTGAGCCATCATCTACTATTTCCCAGGTACATTAGCAGGTACCTAGACTTAAAACCAGCACTTTATAAAATTTTTTGAATTTATTTTGTTTATTTGAGAGAGTTATAGACAGAGGGAGACAGAAAGGTCTTCCATGTGCTGGTTCACTCCTCAAAACGTCATAACAGCCAGAGCTGGGCTGATCGGAGCCCATAAGCTTCAGCTGGGTCTCCCACGCCAGTGCAAGGGCCCAAGCATTCGGACCATCTTCCGCTGCTTTCCCAGAGATCGGAAGAGGAGCAGCTGGAACACAAATGGAATGTGGGCACTGCTGGCAGAGGCTTAGTCTACTATGCCACAGCGCTGGTCCCTAAACCAGCACTTGCTGATACAGGATGTAGACAACCCAAACAGCAGCTTAATTCACTGTACCACAGACAGCTGTGCTGTCATATTGCCTTGTTCCTTTGCAGTGCATACTTGGGAAACAACCCACAAAATGAGTGGATTTAATTAGGTATAGCAGTTGTGACGCCTGTGCTGCTTTCTAACCACGTCTGATCTTCCCTGTCACCCCAGCACTGTGGGTGAGCAGGGTAGTAGAGCCAGCACCCCAGTGTGAGGAACACCAGTGAGGTCAGACCTGGTTCACAGCTCTGGCTTCTGGCCCTGGAGCCTTGTGTGTGCATTTTGTGTGAACTGAGAACTCTTGCTGGATAGAAAGGCAGCCAGGATCGGGTGTGCTGCTCTCTGAGTGGCCTAAGCAGGGCCCCTTTGAGAAAGCTGGCTACAGTGTTTTAGGCCACCCTCAAGTCTTGGACCTGTGATCTCTGTGAGGCCCTGCTGCGTTGCCAGATTTTCTGCTTGCTTAACTGCACCCTGTCTCAAGGTCTCAGGTCAACTCATGGAATTTCATGGGGGCATGAGAGTCAGGGGTGTTTGTAGTCCTTTTTCTCATTTATCTGTGTCATCCAATGAATTTATACCGTCTTTGTATGCAGTATTCTATGAGTACACTGGTAGTCAACAGTATTGGTGAACTGGCAGAGGTGGCCAGCATTTTGGAAACACCTGAAATAAACACTGAGCATGATCGGATTGTGTGCCACTGGGCAGATCCCAGGGATGCTGAAGCTGAGGCCAGGGAAGGCAGGTTCTTTGTGGGCCTTTTGAGAAAGAATTCCATCAACAAACCTCAGAGTCAATAGGTAGTTTGTTTCTTAAAGTTCCAGTGTTTGGGGGTGTGCTTTTGGGTTGTAGATTTGTTCCTCTAGGAAAACCTTATGTGGGGCTGGCGCCTGCATATGGGTACCAGTTCAAGTCCCAGCTGCTCCACTTCCAATCCAGCTCTGTGCTATGGCCTGGGAAAGCAGTAGAAGATGGCCCAAGCCCTTGGACCCCCGCACCCTCGTGGGAGACCCGGAAGAAGCTCCTGGCCTCCTGGCTTAGGATTCACGCAGCTCTGGCCATTGAGCCAACTGGGCAGTGAACCAACGGGTGGAAGGCCATTCTCACTCTGCCTCAACTTCTCTGTGTAACTCTGACTTTGAAATAAATCTTAAAAAAAAAAAAATGCACGTGTGCTTGATTTCCTATAGAACACTTCTTGAAAGGTTCTAGGAGTAACAAGGGGAGTGTGAGGTGCGAGCCAGTCCAGCTGGCCAAGTTGCATTGTAGCACGTAAAGCCCTTTGCTTCACAGGTAATGCATATTCCCCGCCCTTGCAGAAAGATGTCACATCAGTCCACTCTTGGTGACAGCACAGCACGGGGCAGCTCACCTCCCATATACTGCTTTGTTCCACCTGTTTTCCTGGGTCTATTTTCCTGAACATTTGCCTCATTAGGATTTTGAAGGTTGTTTGAGCTAACCCTGGGGAGGTGTTCTCTGTACACAAGGAAGCAGCTTGCACCATCAGCCTTCTGCCTGTAGGGGGCAGAGGTGATCCAGAGTAGCCACTTCGCCTCCAACTGGTGGGGCTTCCAGGTGCCCCTGAGAGGGGCACCTGAGGGACCTGCCAGGTGCTCCCACCTTCAGCCTGCTGCCAAGGTGCCAATGGGAGCAGGGAGTTCAGCGTTGGTGCTGAGATCAGTGGTTCTGGATGGGTAGCGTCCTCCCAGGCCTGTAGTCCCCTCTCAGGTTTTTGTGGGCCTCAGATCTGATTACCCAAGACAGCCTCTGTTGCTGAGCTCCTGTTCCAGAAACTCGCTGTCTGGGCCTGGTGTCAAACTGCTGAGGAAACGAAGGGTCTAAGCCAGGTCACATAATACGTTAGGAAGGCAGGGAGGAGGGCCACAGCTGGGTGGTGACTGGTTCCAAACTGCACACACAGAGCAGAGGACTAAGGTCCAGGGGCTGCCTCCTGCATCTGCTCCCACCGCCTCTGAAAGGTTACACGTAGGTAGGCTGCCCAACATGATAACTTACTGTAGGTTTCGGGTGTCCACATTCAAAAGTGTTTGTTTTTCATTTATTTGAAAAGCAGAGTTAGAGATCTTCCATCTGCTGGTTCATTCCCCAAATGGCCACAAAGACCAGTGATGGGCCAGGCCAAAGCCAGGAGTCAGTAGCTTCATATGTGTCTCCCACGTGGGTGCAGGGCCATCTTCCTTGCTTTCCCAGGCGTATTACCAGGGGGCTGCAGCAGGAGTGGAGCAGCTGGGAACTTTTAGCACCCCATGGGTGGCGGTGTAGCAGGTGGTAGCTTAGCTGTTTGTGCCACAACGCCAGTCCTAGGTGTTGACTTTTTAAAGGATATTTACTTTGAATTATAGATGTAAGGAAGTGCAACGATACACATACAGGACATAAAAAGAACCCTTTTTTACGGTTAACTCCGCATATTTCATTGAAAGCTATTCAGGGTGTTGCCAGCACTGGGCTTAGTTTCTAGAGGCCTTCAGCTGTTGGTTTTCTCTCCCTTGGGAGTAGTGGAGACTCACGGAATGCTCTACCAGAAGCTCTAGAGCAATTTTTGCTTCCTTGCCCTCAGCTGTTCTAGGAAGACTTTCATTTTGACTGAGTCTGATACATGCTTTTACTACATTCCTTTAAATCTTGTTAAATTGTGGGGACCTATGATATTTGAAATACTGTTTGCTAACCCAGCCCACTGCTGGGTCGTCTCCCAGCCCTCTGCCAAAGTGCCATTTGCAGGCATTTCTAGCATCAGTCAAATGGAATTGGGAGCTAGGTGGGTGGGCATAGGGCTTCCTCTGAAGTTCACTGCAGACGCTGACGTGGGAGGCTGGCAGCTGCTACTGCTTCAAGTCCTGTTTATTACTGGCCTTTAACTTGAACTGCCACATTGCAGAATCCTTTCCTGTCATTTGGTGGGGTTTGGAGGTGGAGTGGGGGTTGCGTGTCCGTTGCCACGTCCCAAACCGCATCGCAAAACTGCAGGAGGGACAATTGGTGCTCCTGGCAGTCAACCTAAGACAAAAGAATGTCCCACAAATAGCCGAGGGGAGTGCGGCTGTGCTGATGCCCGTGGCTGGCCAAGTGCCAGCTCCCCGTGGTCCTGCTCTGCTGAGGTGAGGGACATTTCTGGGAAGCCACTGAGCACCTCCCGCAAGGGTGGAAAACTTCAAGCCAGAGCCAGCCCTGGAAACTCTGGCTGGATCCAGCTGTGACTCTCTGGCCTCCCCTTGGATTTGCGGACTGGATCACGAAACCAGCATTCAGATGTATTGGGAGGCAGGTGGTCTCGCATCTTACCTGGGAGCAGAACAAGAAAGTGGCAGGAGTAGGAAGAAGAATCTAAAGGGGGACAAGGAGAGGGACCAGTTTGAGATGCAGGGTTTTGAAACCCCTTCCTTCCATGCAGCTGGCCTTGGCCTGGGAAGACAGGAAATCCCCAGCATGTGGCCTCGAGTGGGACTGATGTGTGTCTGGTGGTTGTCCGCAGTGCTTTGACCTCTTGAAAGTGCTTATTGTACTGGAAGAGGGCAGGGGGATGGGGCTTGCTCCAGAGTTGGGGGCAAGGACCCTCGTTGGGGTGAACTCAAAGCGAAGTGGGGTACACAGGCCAGGAGCTTCAGGCCAACTCCTCCATCACCAGTGACTTGGCTCAGGTCTGAGGTCAGTCTAGCTCAGGGCTAAATCTACCCCTGGTCCCTCGCTTGACCCTGTTTTTGTCTTCACACACAGCAGCCACAGGGATTTTCTTAAGAGCATAGGTCAGATCAACATTTCCTTCGAAAACACCCCATTTAGCTCAAAAGCCCAAGCCCTAATAATGACTGCAAGGCTGCTTAACTTGATGCCCCCTACTCCAGGGTTCTATTTCCAAAAGCGTCCCCAGC